CTAATAAGAGATCCTTTAACAAGAAGGAATCTTAAGAATTAGGAAAACTAATCCAAGTAGAATTAGGAAAACTAATAATATGCATTCTGCATCATGACCATTCTACCCCATTAGTTGATGCCTTCACTCAAGCAAGTGCAGATTTAGTAGACTTTCATATGTCTGTGGTTTTCAAAAGCCTGGAATCCGAAAAAAATTACCTTCGAATTCAGGTATTCGTCGACATTGCTCGATCGGTCTCATAACCATTTGGTGCCTTAATTTTATTACATGTATGTTGTTATGTAGTCTAGCTGGAAAATGAAATTGCTGAAAACTAAGTACATTTAGTCTTGGTTAAAATTGCAGGATGATACATTGAAAGGGAAAGTGTCCTCTGTTGATAATTCCACGAAGGAGAATCTGGAAAATCTTGCAAAGATTGGAGAAGAGTTGCTGAAGAAACCGGTGTCAAAGGTGAATTTAGAGACGGGTAATTTTGAACCGTCAAAACATGAGACCAATGAACAGGCTCTTACAAGGTGTGAAATTATATATTCTAGCTTAGCTTGTCAATTAAACCCTTCTTATGGCTTCTGTCACATAATAACACAGAACAGTTTTTCTTTAACCCGTATGCAGGTTTGCAAAGCTGCTCTCTCAAGAGAAGCACCTTCGTGAGCAAGCCTCATCATCTTAGAACCCCGTGGCAAATATTTGTGATGCAGTTTGAGATTTTCAGTGTTTTTTTCTTTTCCTTTGTTGAAGCAATAAAGTCTGCTTGAGACTTGTAGGTTGTATCCAGATAGAAAATTGTCCAAATTTGAAGTCATCCCTCTAAAAGTATTAATCATTTTGTATGCCAGGGGAACTTTCATAGGGTAAAGGTTTTGGATTCTGTATGTTATATATAATTAGTAACTTTCCTGGGTGGTTGAAACTTCGTTTTCTCATATTTGACTAGAATAAAAGTAATTAAATAAATTTTACAATTCTGTTGATAATCGTTTTATATAGTCAATCTCCTGCATGTTTAACATTTTCTACTTTCGTGGGTTGTACGGACCTTGTTGGAAATTCTACTTTTGAATACAACTTGCAGTTCAAGTTAATGAAGACTGGTCCTTTAATGATTTTCTTCTATGGCTGCTATTTAAGCAAGAGTTAACTTCAATCAATACTATTATTTAGTAGTATTTTATTTCTCAAAATCAGAAGAATGTAATAGCTAAAAGTTGAAGTTTTGATTTTTAGCATCGCATGAACGCAATGGAATATGTCACCAACTTGTGATGTGATCAAGAGCCTCAGCAGGGGCTGCTATCACTTGAACAAAAAGGAAAAAGAATAAGGTTTTTTAATCAGCAAAACTAATTGTCGAACATTTAGCATATTGGCCTGGAAATGCTTATAATGCAGTCTGCAGAATTGACTTCTGACTTCGATCCTTCGATTACAGCTGTGCGGTACACAAGTTTCCTAAGCATGACATCAAGCTGGAGAATAAAAAGTCTGTTGCAGATTCTTATGAAAATTTTGCATTTCTGAGTTCTTTTCTCTCAACTCAGTCATGATGCATGGTGAATGTCTGGACATCAAACTAACTGGTGTATATAAGCTCTAAGAAAGACAATGGAAAATTCACTTTCAGTGTAGATTGATCTTCAAATTACAGGCATATCATTCTTATATCTTCAGGTCACCTCAGGGAATGTAATTTAGATTTGAGCTGTTTCCATATGGGGAAAATCCGATGAAAAGTACAAAAACTTGAATGAGACTTAATGCAGGAAAGAATTCTTCATTACGTAGGTAAGAGTTTTTCAATACAATTGATCAGGAGCAGAAGAAGGATTACATCACGTCTGGATAAGATTACAAATGGAGTTAATTCTTAATTGAGATTAGGAGCTGAGCTGGAGGATTAGCTTCAGCTAACCTCTGGAAGCATAGGCTTCTGTAGAGAGTCTGTTCTTCAATGCTGACGTCCTGCTGTCATGATGGTTACCTCAGCTCTCTGAGTTAGTTTGCTTGCAAAAACCATGCTCAATCAAAATTATAAGTAAAGGGAGGTGAGAAGAAATGAAAACATACAAAAATCCCAATTTATATATAGGGAAAAATCTGTTTAGTGCAGTGAAAAATTCAGAAAATGAAGCAAAATGTTTTTCTTTTCGCTATTAACAGAGTACTGTGTAATTGGAGATGATGTCCTGATGTTGTCTACAATTATTATTGTGTGGTTGAGTGTAAGATAGGTACTAAAACATAATGTCCACCCTAATCAAGGTACAGGAAAAACTACGGCGGCCATAAAATTATATGATTAAATTATGAGCATTTGCTTGATGTAGTGTACCATACATCTCTTATCATCATGCATGTTGAAGCTATGTGCAGACATAGTTTAATTGAACGGTAGACCATTCAATTTATGATTTTGTGCAAGTACTTAGGATTAGTTATCCTAATTGACCTTCTTGGCTTGCTATCCTATCGTTGATCATTGCCGCCTTTTACGAATCAAAGCATTTGCAACGTGTTATGTAATTTAATTTTCTGCTAATCCTTGAATATGCAGCACCAAGATCTTTTGGTGCCTTCCTAGTATGTCGTCCACACAAAAGAAACTGATATTAATGAATTATAATCAAAAGCAGGACTAGTTGCTTGATAGAGGTTATTTAGAGGTTAGGCAGTTCATGAGCAATTCAGGATTTGACCTAACAAGCTGTTTCCTGTGCATTTGCTAACCTCAATTGTTTCACCTAATCATTTTCACCTACAAGTCTCATGAGATCTCACCTACAATTCTAGAACTCTCACATATTTGACTTGTCCATGGCATATAGCTTGGGGAGCAATTAACATGTTTGCTGTAGAAGCAGGGCATTGTTGGACTGTACATGATCATTTTAATAAGGGAGATTCATCATTATACCCAATATAGGGGCCAAATTATTAAAAAAAAAAACCTATGAACCTATGTGAAATGGACTTTAGAAACACAACCGAAACCCATTTACAACATAACTACGAGGCTTTTAATTTATTATAAATTACAAAACAACCATCGATTTATTAAAACAAGCCCAACTCTAAAACCTCATTAAAAAACCTAAAACACTCAATAGGACATCAAAGTAATTTAATAATTAAAATTAAATTCAATAGAGTCAGTTGTTATTTTTTGGGTTTGTTTATAGAAATTAAATGATGAGTATATGACTAAATATCTCTTTTAATAATTATATGTCATTTCCTTGCTTAGAAAACATGCCTCCAACTTGAGCCATATCCACGAAAAATATCAACCGGTCAAAACTTTGAATCACATTCATCCTTTGACATTGTGCTTTATTCAATCACTTTTTTGGGGGGCATAATCCATTGACTTGGTTGAATCCTGGAAAATGTGTGTGCAATGGAATCTATAAATACCTCTACTTCTCTCAAAGGAGAATTCACAAAGAAATCTCGCAAGCTATAAATCCTTCTTCTAATAATTAACTTCAGACTCTCTTTCCTTCTAGCTCTCTCTATCTCTATATAGCAGCAACTCAAACTCTCAAGTCTCTCATGGAAAGAACCAAAAGTATACCCCTGCAGCCCCCAACTTATGGAAACCTAATCACTGTTCTAAGCATTGATGGGGGTGGAATAAGAGGGCTTATCCCAGGAACTATCCTTGCTTTCCTAGAATCTGAGCTTCAGGTAGAATAAGAATTTTACTATTAGGTTATCTTTGTGTGGGAGTATACATGGTTTATGACTTGTTTTTCACAATGTATAGATTCATTTGCGATGTATGCATCCGGCACTGCTATTGTTTTTGGGGATACATAACCTCATGTTGTTTATTCCAAGTCTTGCATCACACTACATAAAATGCAAGACTTCTCTATCGATCGTTACTAATTTTGGGTTGGATGCTCTAAGCTTTAAAAGCTCGTATGCATAAATATTTATCTTCTTCTCCTTGGCATGTGCATGCATGCACATATACATGTATAAGATATTCACATGTCCAACATCTGTCTTATAATACTCTCTAACTTTTTACCACAGCTACACTATTGCTAAAGGATACTAATGTTATTGATCATGTTGCAGAAGCTGGATGGTGAGGATGCAAGACTGGCAGATTATTTTGATGTGATTGCAGGAACAAGTACAGGTGGTCTTGTGACTGCCATGCTCACAGCCCCGGATGAGAACAACCGTCCTCTGTTCGCTGCCAATGATATTAAGGAATTCTACCTTAATGAGTGCCCTAAAATCTTCCCCCAGAACACGTAATGTTTACATAACTTTAATTTGCAGATTGCTACATTTTTTGATATAAATACTTTCTGTTGTTTCCCTATGTTACAAAGATTATCAAAGCTCTAGCAGGACCAAAATACAACGGGAAGTATCTACATAGCCTGGTGAGGCAAAAACTGGGTGACAAAAAACTGCACCAAACATTGACTAACGTTGTGATTCCTACATTTGACATAAGGAATCTCCAGCCAACAATCTTTTCCAGCTTTGAGGTTCACCTTCTGCTATTCACTTCTTTCTTCCTCAAGTTCATCTTTTCCAGCAAACATTGACTTATCATAATATGTGGTTTTTCAGGTGAACCATAAGCCATGCTTTGATGCCTTACTCTCCGACATATGCATTGGAACCTCAGCAGCACCAACTTATCTTCCAGCTCATTATTTCAAGACCAAGGACGGTGAAGGAAACGTTAAAGAATTTAACCTTATCGATGGTGGAGTGGCTGCAAATAATCCGGTACATTATATAAAACAACCGAATATTGAATATTAAATATTAAATTATTTATAAAAAAAAATCCGGTTCAGAAAAATGACTTCAAGATGTGTCCTTGTTTCAGACTTTGCTTGCTATTGGTGAAGTGACAAAGGCAATAATCAAGGGGAGCTCCGACTTCTTCCCTATAAAACCTATGGACTATGGCCGATTTCTGGTGATATCATTAGGAACTGGCTCACCAAAAGATGAGGTGAAGTACAATGCACATGATGCAGCTAAATGGGGCATGTTGAATTGGTTAACCAGCGGTGGTTCCACCCCAATCATTAATGTTTTCAGCTACAGTAGCGCAGATATGGTTGATCTTAACCTTTCTGTGGTTTTCCAAGCCCTTCACTCCGAGAAAAACTACCTTCGAATTCAGGTATACTTATTTTAATCAATTCTCTCAATTTGATTAATAACATGCAACAACAAATATATTAACATAGGCACATTCATAAAAAAAACACCGCAGGATGACAAGCTACAAGGGGATGTAGCTTCCGTGGATGTAGCAACAGAGAAGAATTTGGACAGTCTTGTGCAAGTTGGTGAAGGCCTATTGAAACAGCCAGTTTCCAGGGTTAACTTGGAGACAGGCAAATTTGAGGCTTGTAATCATGAAACTAATGAAGAGGCTCTTACAAGGTATGCATCATATATTAACTGCCAATATTAATATTATTCCATAATCTATGTGCTAGTATTTTTCTCTAGTAATTCATCCAAATATTAAAATCTGTAACTTACTTGCAGGTTTGCAAAACTACTCTCCGAAGAGAAGTGGCTTCGTCTCGCAAGGTCGCCCCACGGACACACTCCAAAACCCAACTGATCGATCATACACATATTATGTTCACAGCTCATGATGAATTCTTTCATTTATTATTGTTCAAGTAGTAAATTGAAATTGTAATTTTTGAGGTATCTGAATAAAACCCAGGAGGGGTGGGATATCAATGTAACAGATGTATTCATTCTTCTCTATCAATGAAATTTAAGAATTGCAATTTGCAAGCAAGAACTATGCACGTGGCCAAATTTTTATATATTATCAGCAACTCTGTTTATGATTAAATTATTATTATTAAACTGTATTTAGTATAATAAACAAATTAAATTTAACCTTTTTTGCAGAAAAGAAAACTATGCACGTGTTGTGACCTTTTGAGCTCTTTCGATAAAATGGCTATGCACATATCACCAACTCTTTGGATTAGAGATAGTGATGTTAGCTTTAAGAGCTGAATTTTCGTGTTTGGCATTTTGTTGCTTGCATTATTAGAATGCAGAAAGTAGACGCATATCACTATTATTGGAAAAGTTAAGCCCAGAGGTTAAGCGTAATTTTGTATTAGTCAAGTTGGAATGTGACTCTTACCAACAAGTCCACGGACAAAAAGGGTGCAGGTCAAGTTTGTGAAAATGAAGGCCACCATCTATCTTGGCCTCTAGGGCATATAGAAATCATTGATAAACTTAAACAAATACAATTTCACATGGGCGGTACCGGGCTTTGAACTGGTTTTAACTGTAATAATTATCTCCTTGAGCACAGCCAAAAGGTTGAAGATTTAAGTATTAGTATCAAACGTACCAATTCAATTGCTTCATCATCACTTAAAGACAGAACGGTGAACAGAATTGTAATCGTCAAACATTGAACATGGACTAGGGATGGCTTTCACTGAATTAGATCTACATAAATGCATGGACTGAATTCTATAATTTCATGCGTCGTCTGGTGCGTTCTCCTTTGTTTTTTTTTTTTGGGTCTAAATATGATATCACCACCAGTACTAATTAAAGAGTATTACAGAAACAGCAGTATCATGAGGAGCAGAGTACTAGTTGAAGCTTATCCTCAAGCTCAGCCTCTAAACTAATTAACTGTTCTTAAAAGTTTGTTACATCTCAGTTAGTTTTAAGAGAGGCATCAGTCTTATCAATTGACACATTTTATTGCAGCTGCTCTTTACATCAAGAGGAGTCTTTTATCAGTTTTTCTTCATTGAATGGGAAAACCCTCTTGCAGTTTCACTGATATGTCATAGTTTCATCTTGTTACACTTTTTTGCTTCATTATAGGCTGGAGAGTAGATAACAACAAGCAACTTAGGGAATATAATGCTAAAAAGTGTATATATATATATATATATATATATATATATATACTTGCTAAAAGACAACATAAAACTACAAAATTAAATGCTGGAGAAATTTTGCAGACTCATTGGTTTGATGAACAGACTGTAATCTTGTGATTTTTGCATCCTTTAAATCTCCCCGAAGAAATAGTCATAGTGATCATCTGCTCCTCAATCTTTTATAAAATCCAACTCAGTAAGGTGAGTATACAAATATATACACACTAGATGTATGTATTTGTGCACGTATGCTTTACAAAACATTGAAAATTCTACCACAATGAACATGTTATTTGGAATTGAGGACTTAAATTAAAGTAATAAATTTTAGGAAGGTTTCCACTACCATTTAAACAAATAATAATGGATTATCTGGAATCAGGATTTCGGCAAATTTAAGAAAAAGAATGGATAAGTCACTTTTCACTTGCAGCTAACTTTAGGTATTGTATGGGGGAAAGTGGGAACAGATGAATGACAGTAAATTATACAGAAATTCAATTTATATTCAAAGGGAAGCGTTTACTAAGCTTTGTACCACATGGTAAAACAGAAACCAAAAGGTTTTTCCTCTTCCTTATTGACAGTAGCATTTTATTGTACAATGATTGATGACTGTGTTGTTGAAGTGTACGATTGCTAATAAGACAATATGTTACCCCCCTAAATTGAAGTCCACGAACAACATATGACAATAGAACTTGATTAAATTTTTCAGCATCCCTTTATCATCCTATTGAAGTCAAATGCAGGCAAAATTGAATGGAAGACCATTTTCCATCACACTGGCAACTTGTGGCCTCCTGATTGCCCTTCTAATCTTACTGCTAATGTTCATCGCCGCCTTATACGAATCAGCTCATAACACGTAAAGATTTAATCCTTTGACAAGGAATCTTAAATATCATAATGTCCCTTCATTGTATGTAGCCGCAGAGAAGAACTTGAAATTTATAATAAGCTAAAGTTTTGGCTGCATGCTTGATAGAGGTGCTTTAAGGGTAGGAAATTCATGGCCGTCCTCAGTGGGGATTGGCCTAACCAGCATCATGTTAATTAGCCTCCAAGATGGCTTCACATTGTCACCTACAAGTCTCATGGAGTCTCACCTACAATTCTACAATTAGAGGAACCATAATTAACCATTTTCCTGTAGAAAGGTGCTAATGTTTGACTAGAAATGAACATTTCCATTCTCAGTCTACATGTCCAACTTGAACTATATCCAATAAACTACAAAGGATTAAAAAATTTGAATCACGTTCATACCCATTGACATTGTACTTTTCTTAACACTTTTTGGGGTACATGTATGCATAATCCAATGACTTGGCTATAAATACCCCTGTAGTACTTCTGTCAAAGGGAAAATTACCAAAGAACTCTAGCTATATATTTATCTAAACCCTCTTCTAGAATTCAGACTCTCTCTCTCTCTCTCTCTCTCTCTCTCTCTTATATAGCAGCAACTCAAGTCTCATGAACAGAAGCAAGAGTATACCTTTGCAGGCCCCGACCTATGGAAACCTCATCACCGTTTTAAGCATCGATGGGGGTGGAATAAGAGGGCTTATCCCTGGAACCATCCTTGGTTACCTTGAAGCTGAGCTTCAGGTAGACTATTCAATCCTTATGTCCTCTGCATACGCATTCACATATAATGTCTTTGATCGATAATTCCATGTCAAATAACATTGTTTCTAAGTCATATAAGTACTCAAAATGTTTGATCATGTTGCAGAAACTGGATGGTGAAGATGCAAGAATCGCCGACTATTTTGATGTGATTGCAGGAACAAGCACTGGTGGCCTTGTAACTGCCATGCTTGCAACCCCAGATGAGAACAACCGCCCTGTGTTTGCTGCCAAAGATATTAAGGACTTCTACCTTACTCACTGCCCCAAAATCTTCCCCCAGAAACAGTAATGTTTACATGTTAAATGCCAAATTGTTGTTAAATATTACAGAACATGTTTTTGTTAAAATAGATTCTAACATAAGCACTAATTTTTTAAACAACAGCTGTCCAATATTTCCTTATGCTACAAAGATTATCAAAGCTCTAGCAGGACCAAAATACGATGGGAAGTATTTGCATGACTTGGTTGGGCAGAAACTTGGTGACAAAAAACTGCACCAGACATTAACTAACGTTGTCATTCCAACATTTGACATAAAGCAGCTCCAACCAACAATCTTTTCCAGCTATGAGGTTGTCCCCTTACTTTGAATTTAACCCATCATATCACTTCTTGACTTAATTTTTTTGATCACCAGTTTAATGTTACTTTTACTGTTTGTTATTTGATAATTACTCTGTTTAAATTATGTGCTTTTCTTGGGTGGTTAGGTGAAACATAAGCCAGGCTTCGATGCTAAACTCTCAGACATATGCATTGCAACCTCAGCAGCGCCTACTTATCTCCCAGCCCATTATTTTGAAACCATGGACCCAGAAGGGAATGTAAGAGAATTTAACCTCATCGATGGTGGTGTGGCTGCAAATAATCCGGTACATATTTTCGCACATCTTCTAACGAAGTTTATAGAAGAAAAATACCACTCGGCCACTAGCTAGTTGGTTTTCAAATAACTCTATGTTAGTGTAAATTGATTATATTTTTGCTCTTATTTCAGACTTTACTTGCTATTGGTGAAGTGACAAAGACAATAATCAAGGGAAGCTCAGATTTTTTCCCTATAAAGCCCATGGACTATACAAGGTTTCTAGTGATATCATTAGGAACAGGCTCAGCAAAAGCTGAGTTCAAATACCATGCACTTTCTGCAGCCAAATGGGGCTTGTTAGATTGGTTAACCAGCGGTGGTGGAACCCCAATAATTGATGTTTTCAGTCAATCAAGTGCTGATATGGTCGATTATCACCTTTCTGTTGTTTTCCAAGCCCTCCGCTCAGAAAATAATTACCTTCGAATTCAGGTAATTAATCCAATTCATCACTCATTGTTCGGACCACATTTACTGGTCACATTGCTGGCTACTATCTCTTTAATAAACTCTATGAGTCCGAATCAGCTGTACTTAGTAAATGTGTTACAAATCATATTATTATTTATCTTATTAACCCAAATTAATGCAGGATGACACGTTAACCGGGCATGTATCTTCTGTGGACATAGCCGATAAGCAGAATTTGGATGATCTTCTGTTAGTTGGTGAAAGGCTGTTGAAAAAACCAGTTTCCAGGGTTAATTTGGAGACTGGCAGGGTGGAGCCTTCAAAACATGAATCTAATGAAGAGGCTCTCACAAGGTAATAAAACCAACAAAATATTCATTTCCAAAATTTATGTGTTCAATTTTTGCAATCTGTAATAACAGAAAGTTGTAATTAACTGTGCAGGTTTGCAAAACTACTCAGAAGTGGCTTCGCCTTGCAAGGTCACCCCAAGGACATACCCCAAAACCAAAACCCAACTACTGACTCTTTTGTTTTGCCATTAAGTTTTTTGTTTTTTGTTTTTTGTATTGAATTTTGGTGTTAATTAATTTGAGGGAAAAATTGTTGTAATAAATGATAATCATAATCAACATTATGATTATTAATTCATTTATTTTCTGTTTTACTTATTGGGAATAGATAGCCATAAATGATAATCCGCGTCGTTATCCATTTTAGTCCAAATTAAAACTTCAAAATAAAACAAAAGTTGCTGGTCCAAAAAATATATTTTTAATCTTTTTTTCTTTTTACAAAGAAAGAAATGAATTTCATTAATAAAAACAAGAATACACGATGGTGCCAACATATATAAAATTCAATCTTGAAAGAAAGGGTTTGAAAATTCTTGTGAAGTAGATATTGAGAGCAGTTGGAGGGAGCATGCATATTGACCATTTGGTCATTTTTCTTTTGTGGTCTGAGTCTCAGATCCAGAAACCATGAATTTTTTTTCTTCCAGTTAATAGTCAACTTGGATTACGATTGTTAGCAAATAGAGACTTTTTAATTTATTTATTTGTCCTTGCCTTTATGGAATTTGTCTCTTTTTCATACGGACCCGTCAAAAGATTGACTTTCTTTTCTTTTGAATTTTTTTTTTTTTTTTTGTATTTTTGTATTTTTTTTCTTTTTTTGGTTTTTTGTTGTAAGTAAGTGTGGCAAGGAACCAAACCAAAGAAACAAAACACACACAAAAGCTTAGAATGGTACACAACAGAAAAAGGAAATTTATGTTAATTGGATGTGGGGATAATAAAATTAAAATTAAAATACTTTGATTTCTAACTCAAATAAAGTAGCACTAATTAGCACTAATTTCACCATATGGTTTATATTAATTAAAAAAAAATTATAATTAGAGGGAATAATAAGTGCGAGATTAGCAATATGTGATCATCAGTTGGAGTTGCTGTCAGCCACAGCCTTTCCATGTGGTGATCTCATTTCACGGACCTTCCTTTCCCTGGACAGAATTTGCGTCACCTTACATACGTGCATATTAATTAAGAAAATTAATTGTGATTAGTAATGTTTAATCAATATAACATATTTATGATCATGCTAAAAAATCATATTAGATTGGTGAGTAATCAAATATACATACCTTATGAGAGCTACTTCATTTGTTTCATGATGAGCAGGCTCATAGATACCGGTTTGCAAATTCACCCTCGAAACCGGTTTCTTCAACAATTCCTCTCCAACTTTTACAAGGTTATTCAAGTTTTCTTGCGTAGCAATATCCACCGAAGATACTGTTTTCTCCAATGTATCATCCTGCACCATATATATTTTCACTTCGACCCATTAATTATTGATTTTTACTGTGAGTTTGGATCATCGATTATGGTATAGATTCATACTATGGCAGTAAATATATCCCAAATACCTGAAAACAATCCAACTGGGGGATTGTTGGCTAGTATGCAGGATTTCCAGGAAGTAACCTACGTCCAGGGATGAGTAGTCCAACCGGGGGACGGAACTC